TCTTGCCGGGTGGACAGTTCCTTAATGCCTGCACCACCCAGCCTTGGCACTGGCGGGAACGTGCGTCACACACTGTGAGGTGGGGGAAGGATGTTGCAGATTTTGTCTAGAAGAGCTTCCTAGCCCCCTAACAGTCCTACGTTGGCAAGAGCTCAGACAGCAAGGGTCCCGACATCACCCGCTGCATCTTGTCTCCCTGACAGTGTCTGACGTCAGGCCTGTGTGACTGCGCCAGGGACATGCTGTCAGCCCGGCTCGCCCGGTGCCTTTGGTCCCAGCAAGCCCCTTTGCCTTAACTTTATTTCTGACTTGAACCATTTTGGGGGAGTGATTTGATTCACCTGACACTGGAGTTTATATAGCGGGAGTGACAGGACTTATGTCGCAGAATAACACTGCCATATGGTGGTTACAAGGCGGGTGGAGGCTGGGAGATCGGTCACTGCAATACCAGCAGCAATCTAAGTGTACATTTCATACAAAGAATGGTAAGGCTGCGGCAGGGAAGTGGCAGGTGTCGGACCTGAGAGAACTGAAGGATGGGAGAAGGGAGCTGAGGATGACTGCCTTCCCCAGCTTGGGCAAACTCCATGGTTGGGGAAGTTTGTGGGAAGGGGAGCATGCTAAGATGGGAGGAGAAATTAATGTGGTGTTAAAGGCACTGTCAAGTTTCATGCAGGCTGGGGCTGCGGTGTGTGGAGAGTTTAGGAAACAGAAATATGACTCTCAGTCAGGGAAAAGTGAAGTGGAGAGATAGGGAATTGGAGTCATTCGTGTAGAGGTGATCGTTAAAACCACCAGAGTGGTAGAGAGTGATGCCAGCAGAAGGGAGGAGGGCCAATACAGAATGCTGGAGAGCATCCCCTTTAGAAGAAGAAAGTGGAGGGAAAGCAGCAGTGGAACGTAAAGAGAGGGTGAGGTGGGTGAAAAATTGGAATCAGCCGCAAAATAGATACAATAACAGAGCATTATGGGAGATTCTTTACTATGAGCAATTTTTATTAATACTCTGGCAATCTTTTCTGCACTCTAAATGGGAGTAAACTATTTTGTGTTAACCCCAAAAACTGTATGAATCAGTGTATCTTCCACTGAAATACTGTAGATCAGAGGCCCAGAAAACTGTTAGGGTCTAGGACTCCAGGGTTTCCCAGAGAACAAGACACACAGACACGGAGATGAAAATCTAAGCAAAGTCTTTATTCAGCCAGCAAGCTGGGGTCGACAGCACCTCCCCTGACACGCAGGCCGAGTCCGAGCTGCCGACCCCGAGCTGCCGACGCCGAAGCAACTTTGGGTATTGATTATATAGGATCTTCACAGCAGTTACATCAAAGCCCGCACAGTTCTACAACTAATAGGTTTAAAACACACTCTATATTGTAACCAATGGGAAACATTGTAACCTTTTTAGGGAACCCGCCAGTTGCCTGCCAGCTCCAATTGTTATCTCTTGCTTACCCAAGCATGTCTAAGTGACTTATCACGGGTTACATCCCTAGGCGTTCCCAGGCTGTTGCCCACTTCTAGTTATCTAACTTAGGGTAGGCGCATTTCTCAGAAGCCTCGGGTAATTTACACAAGAAAAGACTGGGTGGCTCTCGCTCTAGGCAGTCAGGTTAAGTGTCATTAGTTCTTTTTCCTGACTTGATGCTCTCTGCACTCCGGCCAATACAGAATGCTGGAGAGCATCCCCTTTAGAAGAAGAAAGCGGAGGGAAAGCAGCAGTGGAACGTAAAGAGAGGGTGAGGCGGGTGAAAAATTGGAATCAGCCGCAAAATAGATACAATAACAGAGCATTATGGGAGATTCTTTACTATGAGCAATATGATCTTTTTATTAATACTCTGGCAATCTTTTCTGCACTCTAAATGGGAGTAAACTATTTTGTGTTAACTCCAAAAACTGTATGAATCAGTGTATCTTCCACTGAAATATTGTAGATCAGAGGCCCAGAAAACCAAAGCTGGAAAGAACTTTAGAGATTTTCTAGTCTAATCCCTTCTGGATGGGAGAAAACTGAGGCAAATGTTTCTATATACCTATAGGAAGAGCATGGAATCTCTTATGTTCTGAGGCCCCAGGCATTTTATATTAGTTATTATAGACCATGGTGGTAGGACTTTAGGTCCTACTTCCTCTAGACTTTTTGTCTCTGAAAGTACAAAGAAAATGAAAAGCAGTAGATTCCTTTTTAAAATACAGTTTTTGTGGAACCCAAATGTAAAACTATTTTAAAGATTGGTATAATTATTTGCATATTTTTAAAGTTAAGGTTTATAACATTTTCATAATATAAATTCAGTCAATATGACTATCAAGTCTTTGAATGTAATATTTGAAAATACAGTTTGGATACCTATCACTATTATATCAGCCCCCAAATCCAATTTGATACCTGTTAGGCTGGAGAAAGGAAAACAAGGACATGCAAACAGAACAGAGATGCCATAGGGGGAGAACAGACCAGACCCCAAAGTCCGTGCCGTATATGGAAAGGGGACAGCTCTCCCTGAATTCCATCCTGATGTGCTAAGACCCGGATGTCAGCCTCCTCCCTCTTGGAAAGAAAAAAGTTTCTAGTTGACTATTATGTCACCTTTAGCCAATCATACCTCTCAACACCCCCCTAAGATAGTTTGCCCACTCCTCCCCCTCCTGATCTCTTATAAGCGCCCCACCTCCCTAACCGGGTGTGACTTCTCTGGCCTCAGGCAAGAAGGCCATAGAACCTCACCCGGGGGTATTTAAATAAATTACCTGGCCCTTTGTTGCCTCTCTTTGCCTGCTTATTCCGGCTAGAATTTATCTTACAATACCATATAACTAAAAAAAATGGTGCACAGAAATCATAAGTACTTAAACTTATGTATGTAATAAGTAATCACACATGGATACTCTTCAATTAGAGAAATACTGCATAAAATGCAGAAACTTGTCAATTTAAGTTAAGGGATCTGTGGTGTCCAAATTCAAAATTTTGGTTAACATTTTCCATTATTGACATGTGTATGTATGTTTGGGTGAAATTTTAGTATAGAACAGGTATTTTCTTGAAATATGATAACCTTGCAGATAAAAGTTAAAACGAAAACATTTATTGAGTACTTAGTTATGCATGCAAATAAAAGTTTGTGAAGAGAAAAACATTTAAATTATTTTTCTAGTTTCGTACAGAGTATTCTTTCAATCCCTGATAACAGATTACTTCTTAATATCAAGGACTTATGTAAGATTAAATCAATATAAAAAATATCACCAATCTTTCCCTTTACACTAGACCAGGTTTGCTTTATCTTGGCACCACTGATATTTGGGGCCAGATAATCCTTTGTTGGTGGTAGTGGTGATGCAGGCTACTTAGCAGCATCCCTGGCCTCTACCCACTAGGTGCCAGTAGCATCCCACTTCCCAAGTCGTGACAACCAAACAGGTTTCCAGATATTGCCAAATTTGTCCTGAGGAGCAAAACTGCTACATACAGCAAAGTATAGCTGAAAACCACTGTACTAGTCCATTCTCATGGGCATATACCCATATTTTAACACCTTCAGTTGAAAAAAATTCATGCCCTTGATCCTCCATTGTCTTCAAGCTAAAACCTCAATTCTTTGACTATCTTTATAGCTAAAATTCTAGATAATAGTTTTCTACACTGACTGGTTCCAACACCTTCAATAAACTGTTCTGGACATTGCAATTTGATTTCTATCCTAATCACTGCTCGTGAAGACACCGGGGACCTCCATCTTACCCACTCCAATGAACATTTCTCTTTCCTTTTTTTATTGACTTTGGCCATAGTTGACAACTCTCTCTGGTTTCTGAACACTGTACTCTCCTGTTTCTCCCACTATAATCTATCTCATTGTACTCTTTCTTCTCTAACCTTCATGGTAGAGTGTGTCAGAGCTTGGTCTGGGCTTTTTACCTATATACATCCTCTCTATATTTGAGCTCATATAAGCCCATAGCTCTAAATATCTATGAGCTGATGACTCCCAAATTTATATCCTGAGCATAACTTGTTTCCTTGGAATCTGGACTTTCTATCAAATTTCCTAACTCATGACTCCAGTTAGATAATTCTCAAGCATTTCAAAATTAATATACTGAAAAATGAGTTATTAATAGTTATAACCCCCATCCCACACAAACTTTTCCTCTGTATTCTTCATGGCTATGGCTGTATGGTACCACCATTCACCTGTTTGCTCAGTTCAGAAACATCAACAACCTTGAAGTTAGTTCTTATTACTCCCTTCTTTTCATTTGCTGCTTCTAAAGCATCACCAAGCCCTATGTTTTCCATTTCTACAATGTTACCTTAAACCTAATTCTCTCCATTGTAGCACTACCTCTTCAGACCAAACAACCACAGTCTCTCATCTGGCACACTCAATAGCTTGGTCTTCCTCTTTTTCTTTATCCTTCTCCACATCCAATCCACTCCCCACCCAGCAGCCAAAGAGGTCTCTGTGTCACTCTTATACCTCAACTGCAATAGATTCAAATTGCTAGTGCAATAAAACTAAAATCCATTTCCATGATGTAATGGAAAGGCCTGCTTCCCTAGTTTAACCCTTTCTCAGTAATCACAGGCCTCTTCTCTGTCACTAGAAGTAACCAAAACTACTCTCAGCAGACCCTTTGCCTCTGTCCAGGGACACTCTTTCTCTATTCTCATCCTTACCTGTCCTTCAAGTCCTGCCTAACCAGACCTGACCTTTGGACAGGCTTTCCCCGGTCAGCCACTCTAAGGTGGCCTCCCATTTAGTTCATCAGGCAGCCACTTCCCTCCCGGCAGGTAATGTGCCCTGCATTTACTGACTTGGCCATGTGTGTTAATGCATCTCCATAAGGGGAAAGAAGACTTGGCATCTCTTTTATACCCCTTGTTACACTTAACACAGTACTGTGCACATGGCTATCAACCAATGAGTACTTATTAAGTCTCTGAATAGACAAGTTTTGAAAGAAGAAACAAAACATTAACTTACCAAGAGTCCGGAAGGGCCTTTGACTTGGTAAGTGGGAGAAGAAACCAGGCTTCAACGCATTTGTGATCACAATATCAAAAATATCTTCAAAATCATTCCTAAAAAGCAACAATATTTTTTGTAAGTTTACTTAAAGGAATTAGAAAAGGTCCATATAAAACAAAACTTAATCTCTGCCTAATGATCACAACATCATTTCTTACTTTTGATTAACTTTTACATGCTTTTACACACTTTGAGGTGAATCTTACACTGCAAATATAAGGTAGTTGAGAACTAGCCCTCTTGACACCTTGAATATGAAAAGAGGGGGAAAAGCACATTAAAACTCATTAATTTTGGATACTGAGCTGGCTTCCCACAGTGGTAATAGTTATAGTGGGTGAATTCAACAGTTTCTAACAGCTAATATATTCATAAGCTGTGTCTTCAAATTTGGGGCATTAAGTTTGTCTGGGTTTATCAGCATTAGGAATTATTAATAATTTGTGTTTTACATGGGTTCTGCAGAAAAGTAGCATAACAACCAAGGCATCTTTCAGAGGGTGTTCAAAATGTAGAAAAAGCAGCCTCTTTTGAAAATCAGTGTGGTAAACATGGCGATTTTTCGATAATTATTTTTTAGACTGTACTTTGTCTTATATTAAGGATTATTTGGGATGGCAAAGGAAAGGCAGTCCTGGTTCCTGTGGGACTCTCTTTTATATCAGAGAGAGAATGTTTACCTAACATTCTAGAATACTTTTCAAAATCTAGACTACATTAGGGAGAAATTAAGTTAGGAAGAAAACCTTTTGCTATCTATGCTAATAAGAAAGAAATGAAGACTCCTGAGTGTTTATTCCGAAGCAGGGCCCCACAACCAGGACAGCAAATGCTTTTTTAAGAGGCACCTTGTAAGGTTCCAGGACTTCGGCCTTAATTCACTTCAAGAATCCCAAGCCTATGTATTATTCAGAAAACAGAAAACCCACCCACACATTACATAGATACCACACACCAATCTAAACCCACATGTGCTGAGGAATATGGAAGTCAGGATGCTAAGGAAGTTGGCCAGAAGTCATTTTTGAGGATAAAATTTGCTTCATAATCATGGCAATTCAGTATTTGCTGAAATCTCAGGAAACTTGAGGGGAGATCTTCTAGCCCATTTTTGAATCTGGCTCTGACCATGGATAATCCCTGGTATTGCCCACAAGAATGGCATAAATAAATATTCATACATACTGAAACCTACCAACTACTGTGCCTAATACTTTACCTATTATGCTGTATTTAAGCTTCCCCTCATACCTATGAGGTATTACTGTCCCATATTTAAAATGATGAAATTAAAGCTTAGAGAGGTTACAGAACCTACCCTAGGTCACAGAATAAGTCGCAAGGCAGAGCTTGAACCCATGTCTGTCTTATTTTAAGTCTATGCATTTACTGCCTCAATTTTCATGGAAGTAAATGCTGTCCCTCACTGTGCTAAATGGTGAAGTACATAGCTCCACACTATAATGGCCAGAGGGGCTGTACTTCAGGTATGTGTCAGGGAGTATAAGTTACAACTCAGTGTCCCATTCACCTTTCAGAAAATCTAAAGTCTAGACCATTAGTGGGCTACGAGCATACTAGCCTGCCAGTAATACTGCTTTGCTAAAATGTACTTGGGGTATGTCACTGTCAGCTGATGTTGAGGGATGTTAAGAGAAACAATCACTTGTCAGTCAGCATTGTTTAATATGATATGATCAAGCACTTTGAAAAAAGCGGTGAACCAATTTCCTTTCAGTATTTTGTGAGACTATGAAAACAGAATGGCCCATCACTTACCCAAGGATATATTCACAGAGAAGTCTACAGTAATCACTGTGAGAACTGGTAATCAACAAAAGAATTTTCCCAGCATTCTTCAGCTGTCGAAGCCACTTTTTTACAGATTCAGGACAACTGTGTAAATATCTGCCTGGATCGCTTTTTACTTCTGGAAAATATATTCCACAGTTTTCTGAAAAACAAAAATATCAAGGAGATTTTTCTTTCTAAAATTTTTTTACTCAGTATATTCTCAAGTTCCTATCCCTCAAAGCTTTCAATAAAATTAAAAGGATAAAAATTAGGTATGAAACAGTCTAGCAATGATGCCATTACTAACTACTTCTTAAGAATCCTTTTTTCTTTACCTAAAAAACATGATGATTGAAAATGTCAGTTGAGAATATCTGTTGTCTATTTGACAAGAACTGATGAACTGTTAAGACAGATAACATAAACACAATATCAATATTTTCAAATCAGAGAAAACCTTACTGCACTTGAAGTGCTAATTAATAAATATTCTTTCAATCATTCAACAAGTATTTGCTGAATACAGATAACAAATAAATATGCAGGTACACCAGGATTGCACCTTTGGCATGAAGCAGCCAACATGGCATCGGTGTTCCTGAGTCACAGCAGTGTTGTCCTAGATGGAGCTCAGACTACAAGAGCCAGTCTATTACAGCTTGTGAGAGGTGTTGAGATGTCAAATGGAAAAACCAGCCAGAAAAGGCCAGAAGTTAACAGTGAAAGCTGAAGGACTTGTGTCACCGGGATGGGCCTGTTGGTTCTGTCCCTTTGAGACTTTAGAGAGGCCAAGGGGTCGGCCTGAGCTCTGAGGTAGATGGTGCCAATGTCTCCAACAGTCCTGGTCAGTCGCCCACAGTGCTCACCTGAAATGGTGCCTTAAAAGTTGTGTGTACTTAGCAGACAACTTTGGCCGAAATGCTACTAGATTCATAAAGCAGTTTAGAGATACTGTTCTCTGGACGTGATAAGCACTAACAAGTAGGTAAAGAACCCGAGTTCTTACTTCCTTTAACTGCTAGGAAAAGGACGCAAGCAAACAAAACAGCCAGTGAGAGGGCCCGCGCCAAAAGGCACACTGCAGGGGAGAAGGGCTGTACCTGTGGTTCTGTACAGTCTCAAGCACTTGGGAGAACGGAAAGGAAAATTACATTTCAGAATATCAGGACAGGAAAGAAAAGCCTATAAGCAAGAAAACCAGAACAAAAACAGAAATGGTAGCAAATTCTGTTGTCTACCTGCCCAAATCCACTCTCCCTCCTCTTGGCTGGTGAGGACTCTGATTTTGTTTGGTTTTATCCTCCTCTGTGCTGTGTGCTCAGGAAAGGCATGGGTCTCTGTCAGTCTAACCTACTATGGGGATTCCTCCCACTGCCAATGAACTGTTTAGGGAGCGCAGGAGACCCAGGCACAGCCTATGGGACCTGAGAACTCTGCTAATCACGGTCTTTGGTATGAGGTATACCATTGATAGGAAGGAATCTGCATATGAGAACATCCCCTCTTCTCCTCTGGACTTTGCTATGGTTACATGGTCTACCTAACACTGCAGCAGCTTCCTTCAACACAAAGCCCAAGGCTGATGTACAAGGGATGGCAGAGAGGACATCTGAAAGTGGCCTGGGGCCCAGAGTAAATCACCTGGTTTCTGACTAAGACACTGAATTAACCATCAGTTTAAGTGCCACCCAAACTCTGGATGTCTTCTGGTCATGTAAAATGACTCCATTTAATAACAGCCTAAAGATTAAGGGTATCTATTGTTTCCACCCTAGAGCAGAATAGGAGGCTCTATTCAGAAAAATACTATACTGCAGAATTAATCACAACCAGACCAAAAAAATAACTTAATGAAAGAAAATGTTCAGACATCGGGAGACCAAGAACAAAAACAAAATTCTTGCTCTTCTCGTATTTTGTCCTACAAGACATTTGTGTGTGAAATCTCTAGGATCTCTCAATATACCAGAAGCTATGTAATAGCCCTTAGAAAATTAAAATATATCTTCTGTTTATTAAGGAAGAGAAGGTACTAGTAAGAAAGGGCTAATTTAAGAAAGAAAAAAATAAAATTAAATAGCTAAGAATAGTCTGAGGAGTGAGTGACTATCAAAGTAATGGCAGAGGCTGTATTTCTCAAAATTTAGTATACCTATGGGAGTCATGTAAGATTATTTCACCCAGAAAAACAAAACTTTGTAGTAGTAGGAATACTATGGGCTGGATAACAAAAGATTTGTAGTATATACTGCTAAAACATTTATAAACTTAAGCGCCTGTATTCAGAAACTGCTGAGAAAAAGGCGGTTTTCTCTCCCTGGCTGTATGTGATTCATGCCATCTAGTGATTGAAATGTAACTTACTGTTGAACGCTTATTATTCCATTTCCAAGCCAAAAGGAAAGAGAAGCATATACATTTAAATATAGTATTTAAAAATTGTAGCCTACATTAATTTTTTTAGTTTCCCTTAATAAGACTAGTGCAAAAGAGTGTGAACGAAATAGTGCAGTTGAAGAAAATTTTCTCTGGTGGAATAATAGGGGTGCCCTTGTTTTGTTCACAGGCCTGACTGGCATGGGCAAACTAAAAAAAGACAAGTCCTGTACATCTAATGGTAGATTATGCTTTTACTATAAAAGATCACTGACTGTTGCTGGGAAAAATAATTTCATCCCCTTGTAGCCTCAAGTCATTAAAGGAACAGGAGGCATAATTCTGGCAAGTACAAACTCATCTTTTTTAAAATTTACTTTTATTGAGATGTAATTGACATGTAACATGCTAGGAATACACCATGTTGACTTGCTACATGTATATACTGCTATATCCGTAGCTTTGGCTAACTACTCTATAACGTTACATAATTGTCATTTCTTTTTCTTTGTGGTGGTAACAATTAAGATCTAAACTCTTAGCAATTTTAAAGTTTTTAATACAGTATTGTCTGTAACTCACAATCATATCTTTATTGAAATAAATCAAGCTATTAAACCAAAGGAAGTTATGTTAAACATACTACATTGGATTATAATTGTCTATTCAATCATCCCCCAAAGTGACCATACACTCCTAAAGGTAAGGAGTCTTTCTGCTTGGCAGGCAACATTCATTCAATGAAGGAATATGTAAATTAGTGCAGGGGCAGGCACAGGAACACTTATGATTACTCAAAATAAATCTAACTGAGTGAAAGAAAATTACATTATTCATGTATTATTTATCAAAGTCATCTATCTAAAGTAACTTCCATTCTTTCCCAACTGAAAAAAAAATCATGTTTAATTATATACTGACAGATTAACATTGCCTGGACAAGACAGGAATTTAGACCTGGGGTAGAAAGGAATGGCCTTGTTTGTTCTCAATTCACAAAGTAGCCTGTGCTTTTCACTTACCTCAAGAATTCTACTTCACTGACACTTTACGTAACTCATTTTCCTGGCCTTTCTACTTCTCTTACAGTCTTAGATCGGGATATTTTCTGCATCCAGGTGGAATTAAAGTAAAATTTTAAAAACTAGTTTCTAAAGAATAAAGATTGCTTTTCTATATAAAAAAATTTTGTTAATATAGTCATGGAAATAATAATGAAGTGTTGCATATGCACATAAAATGGCCTGAATGTATCAAACATCATTCAGAACTTAGGGACCTCTTGTGGTAAAACAAAGTAAGTACAACTTGAATATTAAAAATATTAATTTGATGATTGTGCCACATCACTGTTTCTATCATTACAGAATAATTGTTTTTTTGTTAACTGTATCACTACTGTTTGCATGATTTATGGCTAGAGTTTCAAAGCTGTTGTCCAAGCGGATCAGAGATGCTGAAGGATACATGTGGGTCTTAGTGGGCGAATGAAGCCCAGCAGTGTCTCCAAGTTTGCCTGCCGATGTAACCGTGTGTGTCTGCGCCGTCAGCAGAGGCAGGCCTCTTGGGGTCGGTGACACGTGACTCCAGGAGGTTAAGAACCATAGACTGAGATTTCCCAGATTAGGACAGTCTCGTAAAGGAAGGATTCCAATTTGCCCCCTTTGCCAACGTCAAGAAAAATATTACAGATACGTCTTAGAAATAAGGAGATTCCTTAGGAATGGTGATATAGAATTTTTACACAAATATAAGTCCTGAAACACCACCTGTACTTCTTTTTACATGTATACATCCTAAATCTAATAAATTTACATTTACTTAGGATGGCTAAAGAATTGTTGTTTTTGTTAACTTAATTCGTAGGTTGGAAATTACCAAATACACAACTTAAAAACACATACAAAACATAACTACATTGAAAATAACATTATTTAAAAAGATTAAATCATTGCTTTTCTTATAAAATATATTGTTATAGGTAATTCCCTATATTGGGTTTTCTATTGTTGTGTAACAAATCACCTCAAATACAGGGGCTTAAAACAAGCATATGATCAAATCTCATGGTTCTGCTGGTTGACTGGGTTTAGCTCAGTGGTTCTTACTTGGGGTGTGCCAATTAGATGTCACTGGGTCTAGAGAAACATCTCTTCACTTAGCTAGCTTGGGCTTCCCAATAGTATGCTGGTTTCAGGGCAGCGGCACTTCCTAAGGGGCAGTGGGCTCCCCCTCTCCCCCGAGTAAGTGTGCCAAGACACTGAGGCAAACGCCGCAAGGACCCATGTGATCTAGCTAGGGAGCCACGTGATCTAGTCAGGGACCCATGCGGCCTAGCCAGGGAGCCACGTGACCTAGCCTTAGTCTTACATTGCCACCACTGCTGCATTTTACTGTGCACTTCACCTGTTTTCTGTTCAGAATCATATTTGAGCTATTTCCGATGGCATTAACACTTATTTTAAAACATTTAAATGGTTTTAACTTAGTGTCATATTTTATAAATGGAATTATTTATAATTGTCTTTACTTCTAATAAAAACTGATATACTTTGAGTGTCTATTTTTGTTAAACATGATTCTAAGACCTTTACAACTGCTTATATATTTAATCCTTATTTGTAACAGCCCTGTGAGACAGATCCTATATTATTTCCATTTTGCAGTTGAGGAAACTGAGATACAGAAAGGCTAAGAAAATTGCTCAGAGTCAGATCTACAATGTGGCAGAGCCAGGATTTGAATGCAGCCGGTCTGCTTTCAGAGCCTCTGAAATACTGCCTT